ATAATTGATTATGAGTTTCGAGAATTATTTTCTGATTAAGTCAGTCTCATGAATATAGATAATGGTACCAAACCCCAGAGGGTACCCTAATCAAGTTTAGCCTCTAGTGCTTCTTTGATAGTGCCAATGAACCTAATATTTCATACATAGAACGCAGCGATTTTGATACTTGTGAGGTTATATTGTCATGTGATGGTGCTACGTTCCATGTTGACTCCAAAAACTGAAGAATGTGAATCGACCACTCTACTTCCACAACCCTCAAGTCTAACTGTTTTGGTCTTGGCTTTGCTTTTTTTGTCATTACAAATGAGTAATTTAAAGTAAAATAAAAACAAGTCTTGAAGACTTCAATTTTAATTCCAAAACCCCTGGTAACTCATGCAAACTTGTGACTTGAATGTTCAGGATTCAAAAAATATATATATATTTATAAACCGTTACAGAAATACAAACTCCAAATTATAATTCATTTGAAGCTAATATCAGTACGAAGCAATTTATCAAAAGCAAAAAAAAAAATTATCAAAATATATATGGAGTGCAGGCAATTTCCAAGAAGTAGTACAGAATAGTAGTAGATAAGAATGATACCCACTTTTGGACATTTTAAGATTGGTTTGAATGGAAATGGGGGCAAATGTTAGTGGGATTGGAGACATGTCTTGGGTATGGCTTGGCAAAGTTCAGGTTAGGGAAGCAAATGGATCTGACAATGTGTTCTTGGTGCTGAAATCAATTCTCTCAGACCCCTATATATGCTATGGTTCAGGTGTGTAACTGGCCACGAAATTGTGCCATGTTCGGTTGTAAGGGAGTTCTTTTAAATGTCAGGGACAATTCCATCTTTATTTTTGACTAAGCACATTGGAGAATTGTCATATCATGTCTAACTTTCTAGTTTTGTGGCTTGTAGGTACGTACATAGGCTAATACTACTGATTCATTTGGTCCTTGGTCATAATCCTATAATGATTGAAAAGTTTTATTCTGAAAACACTTGTATTTTATTTTTCAGCATTTTTTCTTGGAGCACTATCTATCGATTAAACCTTTTCTCTTAGCTAGTAACGATATTGCTGATTCGTTTCAATGCTCTTTCATTTGACCAAGAACAAAAATTTCGTAAATTTCAATGCTTAGATATATGATGTTGTGGTGCCTCTTTCACAACTATAAGGTCTATCATAATACTTCTTTTTTTTTCGATCAATTATTCTATGCTACGGGAAAAGGAGGACCTGAAGAGATCGAGGAGAAATCGAAGGGGACTGAACCACCTATCGGCTCAGATGACGCACTCGTCTGGAAGCCACTTGAAGTGGCCAACGATGGGAGGCAGGGTTCGATCCCCCTGACCTCCTACCCCACCAACTTTGATGGTGGCCACTGAGCTTCTATCATAATGCTTCTTGTGCAATAGTGAGTTTCGAAAGCACAGAAACTTAGGTGCTAATAATGCCCAACAAGAACAGAAGAGAAAAGATGAAGTGAAATGACAGAAGGCATGGGACTCTTTAACAGTTTTGTATAATTCCCAAAACCAATATAGGACAAATGAGACCGCACAAAATTAATGGAATTCATCCCATATGCCTTATGATGGAGTGAGATTTTGGGACTTAGATTTTGGTGTATGTCCTACAAAATAAGATTAGTTGTAGGGCGTGATTCTTGTCCCAGACAGGATTAAAAGTGTCTATTAAGGGAAGAAGCTAGTCTGCATCCTTTTGCTGTTGGTTCCCTCTGCCTGTTCTCTCCTCCATTCCCTTGTCATCTTCTGTTTGCCTTTACACAAACCACCCTACCTCCCATTATTTTCCTTTTGGGTTTAACTTTTTTCGTCATGGCGGAGGCAAAGTTATAAAGTACCTCACAAATATATATATTTTTTTGTTGCAAGATATAAAAGCTAAATGACAATCCAATTGGAACCTAAAGTACTGTTGACATTCCAATTATATATATCTTTAAAAATGTACGAAATTTGTTTCTTTTTAGGTGTAGTTTTTCTCTCTTACACAATAATATACAATAATTCATGAAATTATTTGGGACAATTGAGCTTCAACCGTCAAAACCCCTAATCCATGCGGACCATACCTGTCATAGTTGGTTGGCAAGTCTTGAAATGATCTGCCAACTGCCCTACGTACCCTTGGCTGAATGATGCAAAGAATCCTAAGCACATTATTATCACACCCTTTTCTCACTCGGATTTATATTCTGGTCGTTTTGCCTCCTTTGAGTTTTTCTAAAGTCACTTAAACTTGTCTTCTTAATTTGATTATGTGAACATGAAAAAATAGCTTAAACACACTAAACTGCACCTATTAAAATAAAGCTCATTGGCGTCCAAGAGAGTTTTTTAAGGTACCCAAAAAGAAGAGAAAATTATGAGGAATATCGAAGTCAAAAGAACTATAATCGAACACTAATAATGTCTAAACATTAAGTACTGAGTTTTGGGGAAGAGGTAAACCATCTTGACATAAGAACATTCAAGCTCGGAAATCCTTCTGATTCATAGCTACTAGAACAAATTAGATTCTTCCTACAAACCATCAATAGGAATTGCAGCTAAAATTCATGCATTTTGACAAAATTTTGTATGGTTTCGCTGAAATTTTGAAGTTTGTAAGCATTGCTTCAATGGCTTTCACCTGAAAAACACATTAGTCCAATAATAATGTAAGGATGAAACTGGCGGAAAATGAATAGGTTAGGGACCGTATCCATTTTAGTGAAAATTTGAAGGACTGAAATTGTTATTTTCCCTAATTTTTTTTTTTCTTAAATTTGACTTATGGGCTCGAAGAATATAATGAGCTGTTGTATCCATCTGTTTAGTCAAAGCTTGGGCTTTGGTTTGATCCGGGCCAACAGAAGAAAAATTCCAGTTCACGCATAGAACTTGTAGGACAAGTTTCGGTTCATACATGAGGCTAAATTGTGTCCTACACAGGCCCAAAAGGGGAACCGATTTCCAGCTTCAAAATCGATAAAAAAAAAAAATCAAATTAAGTTTAATGAGTTTGATAAGTATCGTCAATACAAGTTAGTTTAATTGATAACGATGAACCACTTTCTCACAAAAGATCGTATATTCTATTTCGCTGTCGATATGGGGGTTATGTTAGTAAGGGAATTGTTAGAACCCCTATAAGTAACTTACGGTCCAAGGGTGTGTTTTAATCTGTGGTGCTGATCGGAATTAAAACTACCCAAACTAAGACTCTAATCAGGGGCATGTTTTGACCCGTGGTGCTAATCAAAATTGAACCCATCCAAACTAAGACTTTGATCTGTATATAATCGGAGAATTTCCACCAAATAGAATTTTACGATCTATGACTAAGTTCCTGGTGTTAAATTTTTCTTTTTTATCAAGAAACTACAGTTCTGTGGTAGTCATTCTTGCTTCGTCACAAAAGTCAACAACTGGATTCTTTGAAAAAATGAGAAACCTTCAACTGTTAATGGTCTTGTATGAGATGCGCATTGAAATAATACCCCAGATGTTATTTCTTTCAACTTTGACTTTTGATAGACCATGCTAAACATGCCACGTTCACAACGAATAATATGTTTTCCTACCATATCATACAACATTGCTAAATTGCAAGAAAATTCATTTTTCATAGATACAAAAACCAGACAATTTGAATCCAATATTTGATTTATATTGGTTAATTCCGTCACCTTTTAGTCTTTTACATTCTTGGTTCACTTAAATATTAATACTACTACTATAACTTAAGTTTTTTCTGTTCATGAAAAAATAATATTCATGATGTGCCATGTATTTTAAATTGCTTTGACATAAAACCAACTTAAATTTTTTGGATTTCTTTTTTCTTTCCTTCACTATACATAAATTCAGAAAACCAACTTTAGTTGATTACAAAAAAAAAAAAAAAAAAGGATCTGTTATTTAGGGCACGTTAAATGTAATTTTAAAGTCTAGCTCCTTGCGCATTGGACTTCAAGTTGTTGAAAGCTTCAAGGTTTCTGTTACAGGATAGAAAATGTCAGATTCTGGAATATCAAATGTTTGAAAAATCTTTCAAGAAAACTGATGATACTTTTACAACTTTTCAACCTTAGAAACGTATGTGCTTTTTTACTTTGTAAGTTTCGCTTTTGTCAGCAATTCAATACGCAGGTTGACTACTTATAGAGTTAGGTTTATGATCAATAATTGAGATGATTTTTTTTCCACATTTACATCTTCAAAATTTTTCACAAGGGGTTGTCTAGAATGACACGTGCACGTAGATACCGTACTCAGCTAATTTTGCCATAGTCCCATTCATGAGATAGTAGTTGGAAGCTCGAAAGCAAAAGGCAAATTTTGGTGAAAAGAAGAAGAAATGTTGTGAAATCTTGGACATTGTCTAAAGTTTGGGGAGCAAAAAAATGTTTGACGGTAAGTACTTCAAGGTCTAAGACCAACGACATTTCATGTGAGAATTGAACACTTGGATTTCCAATCAACATATACAATAATTGGAACGCCAACCACACATGACCTTAATACTCAGTAACTTTTGATTATTATCATATCTTGTAGCCAATTTGAAGTGGATATCTCTTTCTTCCTACATTACATTATGGCCTTGTTTGGTAAGCAAGTTTTTAGTCAAGTTTGTTTGCTACAATTTTTTAAATAACTTTAGATACAGTAACCTTAAAAAATTTCTCAAAATTTTTAAATTATACATTTCAAAATATCCAAAAATTTTACAACCTTTACAGTAAGATACAGTAAAATTTTAGACAAACACCCAAAAAACTTACTTGCCAAACATGGCCATATATTGGAGAAAACTCTCTGTTGCGCTCTAATAAAAATTATTTTCAAAAATCAACATTATTTATAATATATTTCATTATTTTTATTAAATTTCATATAGAATTGACTAAATCCATATACATTTTTTTGAGTCAGATGTGAATATATTGAGGGAATACAGAAAAATGCATATGGACTAAAACTGGAGGATACCAAATTGAGTTGGTTAGCTTAGTAGTAATATATAGATGCCAAGTTAGTGCTTTGAATACCGAGTTCCCACTACATTGTACGCCCTACAGCCATTACTATTGAATTCCTAACAAAAAGAGAAAAGCAAAAACTATTAATACTACTATGAACAAATCTTCAACAATCTTCTACCATCTTTTTTTCCTTTCTTCCCTTGCTCATTGCAACATAATGAGAAGCTTTCTTGACTAGCAAGCTGCGGAAGGATGTCGGGGCCGAACAAAGCCCACTTTAGCCGACAACGTGGGGTTGGCCGAAGTGGTGGTGCCGGTGGCGGTGGTGGTGGTAGGGCCGGCCCTGTCTTGCTGGACAGCAATGGTGGCTGTGACACGCTCGCACCTAGGACACATGGTCAAGGTGGATGCTGGAAGAGGCTCACAATTGTGCGGGGATAGCACGGTTGGTGGACCAACTTTCATTGCCCTCAGCTCTTCCACCTCCTTCTGCAGCCTCCTGTTTTGTTCTGTTAATGATCCAAACCACCTTTTTAGGTACTCGCACTCCATTTCTGTTTGCTTCAGCTTGCTCCTGTTTAGAGCAAATCATGCATGAGAAATTGATATAGAAATCTCCATTACCAGCGAATAGAGAAAATGACACACGGACAAAAAAAATATTCATGTGAAACGAGGAAATGTTATCAGTTTATTTTGCAGGCCACATTGACAAGTAAAATCTAATTTCACACTAGCTTACATGTCTAGAAGGGATGATATAATGTTAACCACGTAAAATTTAAATATAAATTGTTAAACTTCAGACGACTTTAGTAGGACTCGTGTTTTCAAGGCGTGAATCACTAAAACATGCATTTGTCTGATTTTTTGTCTAAGACAATTATACTACCAAAGGATAAGTTCTGACGACCTTTAAAGACCCGTGGTTTTCAGGTGATTCCTGCAAAATCTGTATAGAAAACCTCTTAAAAGTAGTTTGTGAATGGTACTTTCAAAGTTGTCTGCTATTATTAGCTGAGTGCACAAACCATCAATATGTTCCCATCGTACAAGAAATGAAGGCACATAATTCACGCTATTCTCAATCCCATGAGTCATTTTTATGGTCCCAAAACTCCAGGATTAATGACCTATAATATATTCTTCGTTGTTATGGGTATAAACAATGACAAATCACCTAGAATTATGCAAACATGAGTCTTGGATGTTTCTTGTCCCCAAAAGAGGGTATACAATCAACCTTTTTTTTTCCCCCAAAACTCAAACTCGAGCTACGTGAAGAAACTACAAACACTTTAAGCACTCATGATTATCATACACATTGGAAAGATTTCGGTTTGCGAACAGTATAAGAAGGTGTATAAAATTGTGCGTCGTGCAAGCACCACTCTCACATGAACAAAATATCAAAAAAAAAAAAAAAAAATCTTACGTGCACATACAAATACTTGAAATTTATTAACGGTTGAGGGTGGAAAGGGTATAAAGAGAGGTGGGAGGGTTAAAAAAATACTTGAAATTTATTCTCTCAATGGTACATATGCACATATATATGTAGGAATCGTATTAATATAGCTATCTTGGAAATCAATGAATTAGTCGCACCATGTGTCAAAATTTTGAAGATTCATTCTTTTGAACAATTTTGTTTGTTCCCGTTACTTAATACCCCTTTTCCAAGGAATCAATTATTTCAACGGTCTATGTAGACTTTGAAGCAAGTAACGTTCTCAGAAAATGAGGTAAATAGTTTTTAGTCTTGAAATTTAATGCATTGGGCGTCAGCCTCGTGCCGTAGACTTAACAATATTCCAACACTTCTAGACTTAAATGCTGTATTGACTTCCAACCGGCATTCAAGAATGAAACCCCAACACAAGATACCCAAAAAAAAAAAATTTTTACATCAAGATGGTAAAGAATGTGGTACCAAAGCAAAACGATGACCATCTATTTTCTCTACTCTTTAAGGTATTGCCAAGAATGGTCAAGGCTCGGACCCGTCTAAGTTGTGTTTTTGAGGAACAAAATAAATTGAGTTCAGTCGACCCATAATAATAAGGTCCATTTCACCCGTAAATTGTACTAGTAATAAGTAGTACCTTGCTCTACGGTTCTGAAACCAAACCTCCACTTGTCTCGGCTTGAGCCTTAATTGCATGGCCAAAACTTCTTTTTGTTTCTACAACAATTAATACATAACTGATTCAATTGATGTGTGAATTTTGCCATTTGGTTAAAAATAAATCACAATTAATACCTTTTTTATTTCCCCTGAGAAAATAAGTAGATGATAATCAAGAAGCACACACACAAACACACACTAGAGGTGCTCACAGGGTTCAAGGTGTGGTTTTGCCGGAAACTTTCTTCGAGAAGACGAGATTGTTCCTTTGTTAAACGGAGTTTCTTCCTTGGATGGCCTCCAAATCCATTTGGGCTCTCATCTTCATCTTCCATGCATTCTTCTTCACCTCCTGATGGGATTTGATTTATGTCCAAATCTTTCATTGAAACTCCACCACCTTCCCCTGCATTAATTATTATTAATGTTTACATTTGACCAGGTGATTTACTAGAAAGTCAGAAATTAATAACTTGAAAAATAACTTTTTCAACATGAGACTAAGAACATCAGATGATCATATGTGTATCTTTTCATATGATGAAAAGTTCATCCAAAAAATACGAGATGAGAAAGCGTAGTCCATGTATATGTGTTCGATCAGATAAACAAACCTCCATGCAGGAAGCCCTAAAAGATCTTGTTATAAGATATCAGTGTTAAGTTTTGCACCTCAAGAAATTCGTTTATCATTTCAGAAACAAGAAATCAGGATCAAAAGAGGGTTACTAGAATCCACCAAATTCGTAGAATCAAAAGAAAGAGGGTGTAACTGAACAGTTAAATTGGAGACGCACAAAAGCAAAAACAAACAAGGATAAAATCAAACTGGAAAAAGATTGATTATAGTTTCATACCTGAAGAAGGGATAGACAAAGATGAAGGTAAGCCTGGGATCGACATAGTTAGCTCCAAACAAGTAGAAGTATTAGGAAGAATCGCCATGGTGATGGTGATGCAGCCTGCAAATGAAAACACAAGAGGACCGCCTCAACAAGCACTATATATCTACACACACACACACACTTTTGTGGTGTTTGGAGAGGGCAAAAAGTAAAAAGGATGGGGGGGACAGGAATGAAAGAAAATAATGGAGAAAAGTGAAGAAACAACCAAAAAATGGTCAAAATGAACAAGGGAGAAGAGTTCGTAACAAGAGTTGTTGGAAAGAAAACTTTAATACTAATGCTACTAGTTATGTAGTTAAGACTTAAGAGTAGTAGTCCTAATGGTTTTTTGGAAGAAGGGAGATGGCTAGCTTAGCCTTAGGGTAATAGGAATCTTGACTATGGTCGTCAAGTCAAAGAGTCTAACCCTTCTGATGGAAGACACGTGTCCTTCACTTCACCATTGGGAAAAATACATTGGGTTCAAATTGTGGGTGAATAGCCAGCAGGGTGCTCTTATTCTTTTGTTTCAACTAAATGGGCGTTGTCTGGGCTGTCGGTTCAGAGGTCAGCTGCTGAAATGATTGGCAGTGGACATTGAGCCTCAAACTTGAATTAATGCCCCCTTATCTCTTTCTCTCTTTGATTTATTCCCTTCAAGATTTATTTAAATTGGCATTAAGGGCACATCCAATATGTATGAATTTAAAAATAATTAATATTATATGAATTTTATTTTACACATAAATACAATTTATATAAATTAATTGGAGAACTTTGATTTATATGGCTATATTAATTTGGTAATTATAATTTTTAAGGTAGTTATATTAGTAAAACGTGATCATGTAATTGAAATAAAAATTAGATTTTATAAGAATATAATTGAAAGTTGAAAAAATGATTAAAAAAATTTACACCAACTGTCACCCTTCTGACTTTATATATTGTACAGATATCTGTGAAATAAATTCTAATTGAAATATTTTACACGTATAGAAAGTGATATAGTAAATGATTGTCGTGACAAAAAATGTTTTAGTGTTGTAGCAAAAACACGTAAGATCTCAAAAAGGAAAAGAAAAATATAATAGGACAAAGTATGTATAATTTTCTTTCCAATATGATATTCAACCATAAAATCTACTTGGATGTAACGCTAGAAGTAAATGGTCAAGATTCTGATCTCGCAAAACTTAAATTCAGCACTATAAATGGTCCTACGCATTAGAGATGTATGAAATTGAACCCACACATGCATAGATATTTGTACAAGAAAAACACATAGTGTTACACGGTCAAAGACACGCACCAACCTGACACAGCATGTATGTAATTCTTGGTCAATCCTGAATTATAAAATCATATGAATATTCATATATATCATATATGTGCAGCAGTATTTGGTGATGATGATTGACATCATTGAGTGAGATGGGTGATCAAGTGATCAGTTGGGAAACATGTGATTCAATGGATTAATGTGCAAGGGAAACTGTAGCTCTGGTGGGAATTATATATTGGTGTGGTGCATTGTCAATGTCATCTGTTAAGAGCTTTGGAGATAATGAGGCATTTATGGCCCTTTACCTCCTTGCAGGTTTGTTCAGACTACAGATGGGAAGTATTTTGTAACGCTTCTTTCACATTAATGTCGCCAGTAGGGAGTTAAAAAGAAAGAAAAACACAGAAACACGCGGGCGCGCGCGCACACACACACACACACCCCTCCCCTCCTTTTTTGAGGTTATGAAATTGAACAAGTTTATTAGAGCATTTTGTTTAGTGAATTGCCCTTTCCTTCTGAAGTTTGACATAATAACCTTTGATCTTACTCTCATCTATAAAGTTGCACTTACTAAGTAACTATCTCTTCAGATTCTTTACTAAGGGTGCATTTGATAAAACTGAAATTTGAAATTTAAAGTCTGAATCCATTAAGTTATTGAATTGTTAAGTATTAAATCTAATATATTTGAGTGCATATTACATTCAATAATAAGTGAATAGATTATCACTTAATTTTAGGAGTAAGTTTTACCTAGAAAATTCAGTGCCACTTAATTAATTCAGATATTCAATTTTTTGTTATCAAACGGTCTGAATATGTTAAGATCTGAATTCATTAATTTTAAGTGCTGAATTGAATTATCAAATAGGGCCTAAGGCTAATTCTTGAGGTTTCAACATATTTTTTTGCGAGTAATAATAATTAATGAGAGATGAAGTTTATGCAACATACAATATAAAACTCAAGTAGTACGTGATTTGCTATTTTGACATAACAGCGTACCACCAAATTACTTTATGTGGCTAATTTAATGTTTCTTTTCTTGTAATTGCAATTGCTGAATACATTCATAATGACTCTCTGCGAGTGGTAACTTCTTTGAGTACTTCAATAAGTGTAATATTTAATGGACTTTCATGCATAATAATGGAGCCTTTACTCTTCTATTTCTAATAAATGGAATTTCGATATTTTATCAAACTGGAATTGAATAAAGCCTTCATGACTTCATCAGTCTCTTAATAGAAGTAACTGATGGTGGGTTTTTCTTTTTCTTCTAAAACAAAAAGAAGAAAGACAAAACATCTCCGTCAATTGACAGCCTTTCTGCCGCAAATTCCGTTGTTTGCTCCATGGCTTGAGAACCTTTTTTTTTTTTTTAAAGTTTGAATAGGTTCGACTCTCGCCGTTGTCACCGATCAGGGCAATACTCCAGAACCATAGATTGTTTGTAAAAATTCTTGTATTTACAGAGTCTCATATCGAACGTATGATCTTTTGTGAAGAAGTGACACGTTTTTATCAATTGAGTCAACTTGTGTTGGCAATTTGAGAATTAGATTTATGATATAACTTAAGAAAATAAAACAAAAAATGTGATAGGTAACAAGGGGAGGGGGACTAGAAAAAAAAAACAAGGGGAGGGGGAATAAAAAGGCTGTCAAATCATCTGCTTGTGGAAATGTTACATACGCAAAGTGACAACTTTTTGGTAAGAATCAGGCTTAATTTTACTTTATTGAGGATCTGTCAACATCCTAATGATCTGTTTCTTTGAAAATCAGAGATAATTAAACACAAGCAATTAACTTGTAGACAAGAAATTTCAAAAAAAAAAAAAAAAAAAGCTTCATGTGTTATTTTTTTCGTATGTTTTTGTCCCAAGACAAATATTATCTGTGTCCTCTAAAATCCATGCATAGGTTTATTAGTTACAGGCTAACTCCATTGTCCATATAACCTACTCAAGTTAACTACTTAGTATAGTGCATGCCTGGTAGGACAGGGATAGAGATCAAGGAGAAAGGGAAAGCTACTGCCATTGGATCCCATGAACAAGCAAAATGACATAAATTAAGACAAAAATCATCTCGAACTTTGCCTTCGGGAAACAACTATCCTTGACCTTGCTAATTCACCTTCTTTGCCATTGGACCATGAACTAGCAAAAATGACATTAATTAAGACGAAAATCATCTCACGAATAACTCTACTGCCTTCGAGAAACAACTATTCTTGACCAAAGTATGAAACGACTGATCTAATTATGTTTTCTATTTGAGAGGTACTTTGACAAAGTCTTAAAAGTGTTTTAATTGTAATCACTGCCAATTACTTGATGAAGTGGCATTGTTACTTTTGACAAACATGGGTTTAAACCTTAAACTCCTCTTTAATTAGCTACGTACAATGAACGTATATCATACAGTTTAATGTCTCATAATTTATTGTGCTGTTCATATTGTCATCTTTGGAGACAGCTTCAATGTTTGGATGAGAAACCGTACTTAGATAGCACTAAATAAGAGAAAAAGTTTAAGTCTGTTTTATTCGGTTTTTCATTGGTTAGATCAAATAAAACCCAAACAAGGAGGCTGTGAAGTCCACAATAAAATTCCAATCAAATTCACAAAGAAAGATTCAAATTAGCCAAACTAATTCGGTCAGATCAATTATATATATATATTTTTTTTTCATTTTTGGTCGAAATTATAGTGCGTGTTGATGTCTCAAATTAATATGAACTTTTCTTTTATTCTGTGAAATGGGCTATTACCCACATTTATCTTAGGCCAATCCAATCATAGCTCTGAAACAACCATACAAGGCATACCCTTGTAATTAATTTCACTTCAAACACGTAATGATAGAATTTGCAATTAGCTAGCTAAGAGTAAGGTTAGCAGCACTAATAGTATTTATTATGTTACCCCTTGGGCAGGTATAAGTATAAAATTCTAGTTCTCGTAAACTAAATTCTGTCTTGTAGACTAACACAAGCCCTAGAGATATTCAATTGTTCCCCTTGAGGTTCAGTGAATTTTAATCGTGAGCATGATAAGATCATGCAATTATTCTAAGCAAAAGAGAGAAAATGTTATAGCATGCATAAACTAGCCAATTCCATACCCTGCCCCTTCATTTTGGGTTGACAATATTTGTGGATAAACAACTACTATTCGGAGCACAATCAAATTTTTTTGTCATATTTTTTTATGGTGAAATCAACGCATGAATGAAGGCTGTGTCTCGGAAGGCGAGCCTTATCTTGTCCCTCATTAGTCATTAGTCTCCACCGGTAGGAGGTCATTAGTCTCCACCGGTAGGAGGTCGCAGTTTTGGTGACCTTATTTAATTGTCATATACTTTTGTCTTCATTTGGGGGAGGCTGCTTTGGGGTTGGATCATTTTATGGATTCTTTGAACTTTCATTGCCATTGCCATTGCCATTGCCACAAGAGGAGGTACTCTTTTCAGAAAAAAAGAAACTTTTGTTTTTTTAACAAACTACAGCATATGGCCTATCTTTATCAAGAACAAGAAATTCAACTGAATTATATAATAGAGGATGCCTTAACTCCTCTAAATTAGAGGGGTGTATAATCTTTTGAATTTTTATTACGAAATATAAAGTTTAAGTATTTATTTGCCCCGGACAACAACGAAGTACAATTTTGATAATAAGACGTTTTATCTATAAATAATGGATCACGGTTCAGATCATCAAGCGATATGTATGTAGAGTATTAATTCCCTTCTTTGGAAAAATGTATTATTGTGCTTAAATTAAACGAAACTTCGCACCAACAGCATGGCTAAATGAGTGGGAATCATAATCGCTTTGGCTTGGTGACTTGACGTTTCAGTCCATAGAAAGGACACAAATAGTGGTGCATAATAAAATTGTCCAAGTGG